GGATTTTACTTCTCCCATCAAATATGATTATATGTCTCACTATGATAGCTTAAGACATAGATGAATAAATATATGGCAATAGAAGTTGAAGTTGGGTCTGTATGCTATTCCTTTATATGGAGAAACTGACAAAAGTTACATTTTTTCTTACTTTTTGATCAAATATTTCCAATAGTACCCCGGACAGGTTGTATGATGCAGTCATTTTTTTACTCTATATTTGCAATAGAAAAACCATTCTTATTAAAATTTTCATATTTTATTCTGGAGACAATTTCCAACATGGAAAAAAATATTTTATCGAAATTCCCAATTTTATGATTTTGACGGGCTTTTTTCAAAAACACTACACTGTCAATAAAATACAGGTTTTTGCTTGAACAATTGAACTTTTAACGTCATTTCAAATGTTGTCTGGCTATTGAATTTCCAGCCGCCTTAAGTCTTTCCAGATATATCTGTTGCCATATTAATAATTATGGCTGAATATTGTTATTCACTTGAGTCATATTCAATATTATTACAGTGCATTAGGCCAATAAAAACTTGTTGCTCTGGGTCTCGTTTTGTGAAGCGTTCCCTACATTGAGCCCAGATAGAGGAGGTCAATCTTCTTGTCCACGGACATGAGTTCAACCCGATCGAACTGTTCAATATTGTCCAAAATGAAGTAAAACATTACGAATCTCCAATTTCAAGTATTCTTGGCATTAGATCCTTCAGAGATGTTATTATAGCTGTGTCAAATTTCATCATGAAATTGTCAGGGAGACCTGACATTTTAAAAGCAGGGTACTATTTACGTGCCACAGGCTTGCATGCTGAATGACGGAGGCGGAAAAACCCAGTGGAGAAAAAGGTGCGTTTTCAGAGGAAACGTGACCCAGAGTGACAAGTTTTTCATTGGCCTAATGCACTGTAATAATATTAGGCCTATTGAATATGACAAAAATGAATAACAATAATCGGCCATAATTAATATGGCATCAAATATATCTGGAAAGACTTTAGGCGGCCAAAAATTCAATAACTAGACAATCTTTAAAATGACGTTAAAAGTTTACTTGTTAAAGCAAAACCTGTATTTTATTGACAGTGGAGTGTTTTTGAAAAAAGCCTATCAAAATCATAAAATTAAGAATTTCGTTAAAATATTTTTTTTCCATGTTGGAAATTGTCTCCAGAATAAAATAAGAAAATTTTAATAAGAATGGTTGTTCTATTGCAAATATAGAGTAAAAAAATGACTGCATCATACAACCTGTCCGGGGTACTAAGATTATTGGGCATTCAACTAGATGATCTTGTTGACATGCAGATTGCGAATTAACTTTACAATTGTGATCGTTAAAATAGTAAATCAACTTTTGAAATTTTTGAAACTTAAAAACCAATAGCGACTCAAGAAAATAATTGAAAATAAAAGCTCTACCTGTCGATAATAATAAAAATTCAAATATGCCAAATATCAAATATGTTCAAACAAGTCCTTAGTAGGCAAAAATGTATTATATCTTTGAATGTATGATGACATAGACTTTGTCCTCTAATCCACAATATATTTGTACGTGTATGGTAACAGTGCTTGTATCAGGCGTGAATCATAGAATCTATATGCTTGATCAGAAAATAAATCTAAGAAGAGTGAAGTCATAGAGTCAATGAGGCATGCGGTATACACTATCAGCTTACCATATTCCTCTCCTATGACATCAAGAATGCTGCCTAATTTTTGAATGTTCCAGCTTTCTTGATCATCATCTGTTAATGAGCCAGATATGTCTGCGCCATATATACCAGGGTTAAATGTGATGTTTTTCCAATACTTTCTCTCAAGCTCTTCATAGTCTTCATGGAAGGGGGTGTTGTACCTAATAACACAAAAACAAATATATTAAAGAGACTCTGTATGTATATCTGATCATAGACTGAACTAAAATATTGCATTTAGAAATAATAAAAGGTGCATGCACCCTTATAGCTTGTCACATCACTTATTGAGTGAATACTTGTTTGATATTTGATATTTTTAAGGAAGGATGCTTTGTACCAAAAATTAATGATGGCGGTCAAAACTCAGGGGTTTTCAGATCCAGAGCCCTTTTTAAATGAAGGAATTCATCCAAGATATTGCGACCCTACTAACCGTTGATACTGTTTTAACTCAACCTTTTCAACTTTGGACATTCTTCACAAACAATAGGAAGATGAGAATTTAATATCAACTTGAGAAAAAATCCGGAGAACACAGATGATATACCAATGTTATATATTCATTTTACCTGTCAGAGTTAGCGAGTTTCTCAAATTCTTTGCAATGTATTGGTTTCCTTTGTATATTATACTGCTGGAAGAGACCTTGACAGCCATGCACAGTTTGCTGTATAGGAGCTGGTATCATAATATCTAGATCATCGTAGCCCTTTTTCCTAGGGACCCATTCTTTAGGTGGAATAATCTACAGCAAAATATTCAAAAGATTTATTACAAGTTAATATTTGTAATACAAAGATCATATACTGTACATTTCATCCATGTATGCTCTAAAGTGAAATTGTTCAAAAATTTAATTTTCTCAAATTGGGATTTTTGTCTTTATATTCATTAATTGAGTCATTTCCAAATTGCTTTCACACAAATTATCAACATATCTACCCATTTTTTCTAAAATCGATGAACTAAATTGCTTATTAGCTAGGTAAAGACAGATTTCCTAACTTACAATATTGTAGGACTTCACATGAGAGCATACCTGGAGAGAAAACACGATTTCTCATATAAGTTTAGCAAAATAAATTAGGAATATTGCAAATAACTGGATCAAACCTTTGCAATTCCAGCTTTGTGGGCACCCTTTGATTCCATGTACGCCACAAACTTGTTGAAGTCCTTGAATTCCTCCCAAGTTGGACGAAACACCATGATCTTTGGGATGTTGTGACCACCACTGGATGACTCCATCCTGCAACTTAAGTCAGGGTAAAGTTACATTATGTCATTTTTTGACAATGGGTACTGAAAGGGACCTCCAAGAAAGACTATGGTTCTGGGTCACAAATCAAATCTGGAAAACTGAGTTACAAATGACATTTTTCAATAGCTCAAAAATATATAAACCCAAGTCCAAAGGAGTTAGCAAACTTTGATCAAACATTCTGTGAAGAGTAATCCTCACACAGGTGATGACATGTGGATTTTTCAAATTCCTGACAGTAGCACTTGCATGATTAGTAACAAAATAATTTAGCCCTAATGTTTATACAATTGTGTACAATCATAAACTAGTTGTAAATATTTTATCACATGACCATATTTGTAAACAGATATGGATATGGATAAATAGGTCAATTTTACAATGAATGCATTACTGAATCTAAGATCCACAATATAGGCTTATTAACCTGGTTTCAAAATAATTACATAATAGAAAAACAAAACAATGCCATATAAGCATCAATTATCAAACCCAATAAGGAACAAATATGTTGTTTCACAAAGTGTGAATATGCGTGCAGAATGGCACACGACCTCAATCCTCATTAACATATTCATAAAACAAACATGGCGGATTAGATCACCAAAATGTTAGGACTTCATGATACAATTTCATGACCATGCATCATTAAAAGACATTAACAACCATTTCCTTATCATATCATGTAATCAGTGAGTCCAAACCGATGTAGGCATGTAATGATAGATGATATTCGAAGTTATATTTTGACCCACAAAAAATTCTAAAAATCATGAGGTTGAAAATTATTCCATGATTCAAGGCCTAGATTCCAGATATTTCAAGGTCGATACTATGTTGTTTAATTCTAATGTTCTAGTAACTATGATATACATACCTCAATTTCTAGCAAGCGCTAGTATATCACCGGGGAATGATGTTTATTGAAATATTATTCGGGAAAACCATAGGCAATATTTGCTTCCTCACTCACAAGGTGCCCGTAAAAATTTCTAAAGGATGTAGTTCCACATTTGATTTCTTTGAATCTTATTCAAACGTCTATATATATGATCAAACAATTGAGAATATAAGATAGCATACTGTGATCTTGATTGATTTTTGTTGTATTGAAAGGAAAGAGTGGATTTTATTTCTTATGAGGCTCAGGTCAGCGGATTGATATTTCATGGAAATTTCTTTTAGGGATCGACTACTCTGTACCAAAAGCATAATAAACATTCAAATTGCAAACATTTTTCTCACTAAGAAAGTGTAATTATAAAAAAACATTACAAAACATTTATGAGAAGTCAAGAGAACGCTATCTCATTTGAATGGATCTATTTCTCACAAACTGTAATCATAAAGTGCCACTTCTATTTTCATTGAATCAAAATGACATTATATGTGGTGAGTCGTGACCTACATCTTGAGCTGACACGACAACCATCAACTGATCAACATGGTGCAAATCGACTTAGCAATTTTTACATTTATTTCACTCATAATCTTCCAGTTAACATCAGCCAATGATCTTGCAAGGGGTAAGTGTGCTTATACTAGCCATTAGTTGTACATTTGAGAGACTGCCTGCGGCAATTTTTGGAACAGGCAACATCTTACAATATGATCTGTATAAAATTAGAAGAGACGAATGTCTCAGTCTGTCACCTGAGACTTGATGGTGTCAGGTGTCTTGATGGTCTCAGGTGCCACACAGTCACAGTGTGTAGTAGGGCTGTGCCGGAACCGGTTCGGACGGTTCGGAATCGGAACCGGAACTTGGTCTCACGGAATCGGAACTTTCGGAACCCCTTTTGGTTCACAAATGAAAATAATTATGTATGAGTGAGTTCGACGGCGATCATGACGATATCGTCGTCCAAGTTTGTCAGGTTAACACTTACCTTTCCTGTCAAGCAAGTTTGAATGTTTTTACGAAAGAAATAGACTCTAAAATCTGTAAAAAGAGAGAAAATTCGATCTTTTTTCTACTTGTTTTCACTTCCGGCTGCTCTGACCATAATGCGCATGCGTAATTGAAAAAAATCAATTAATCTGATATTGTAAGAGTTAAAATGTAATTAATTAACGCTGTTAGATTGTAAGACGTCATGGAAAAGTAAATTTATTCATTTATCTATGAGTATTTTCGCCCCGTCGATTCCTACTTCCAATGAAATCCGAAGGTCAAAGTTCGTAAAACAAAACTTGATTTCTGTTGATTTCTCCGCTATTTATTTTGTTTATGCGAGTAATACACATGCAAATTGGATGTAGTTTGAAGGAAAACATCACTGGAGGAACAATGGTCACGGATATTAACGATTCAAAGCAAGTACTAAGGTAAGGGTCCGATATTGTTCCGAAACCCTTCGGAACATGATATTAAAATTCCGAATTCCGGTATTTTAACAAAAGTCCGCGGTTCGGACCGATTCCGGTCGAATGGCACGGCCCTAGTGTGTAGCCTAGCCTAAATGATCAACATTCAAGTTGAACCTGAAACAGTCAGTCTGCTTTATAATATCTACAGTATTGGCCGCTAGAAAATCGTGAATGTTGAAACTGAAATAGACTACATGTAGCTCTAGTCTACTGAAATCAGTTGCTAATCTTTAGATCTTTATCTCAAAAATGTTGAAAGCCCATGGTTACAAACATCACAATCATCCGTATCGAAAGTCTGTAGAGTTTATCAGCTGCTTAATATGTGTCAATCATTACTTTCCTTTCTCAACAAGTCGACATTTTGTAGCGAGAAATCAAATTAGGCGTTTGGCAGAACTTTAAGAAATAGCGTTCGAAATCTTTCTTAAGGTGCCATGGAAGTTAACAGGAAATGACAAAACAGGAAGTGACAATTTTTTTGCATTTTTAGAAATTTTTTGAACAAAGATAACAGGGTTCTGTTTTGATCTCCAGTCAATTCAACCAGTTCCAAATACCATTTACAGGTCCAGGATCACAATGTTCATAGTCAGAATGACCCTAAACATGATGAAATAACCTTTTCAGCCCTATGAAAATGTGACTGAAAAATAGCTAAAAGTAGGAGGTAGGAAAGGTCGCTAAACAGAATCTTTTGAATTTTTCAGAAAATGTGCCCAATTTATTGCTCTAAATGATACACATGCTATCTATTGCAAGACTTACGCCTGCCACAACCGTCACCATGTTAATCAGTGTTTTTTAAGTAGCGCAAGGATCCTGCCATGACCGTGGTAGTGTTATCGTGTAAGCCTGGTATAACCGTGACAGGCTGGTATAACCGTCACAATGCTGTATTCTATTGCAAGGCCTGTCATGACCCTGGAAGTGTTATCGTGGAAGCCTGGCGCGACCGTAGCCTTTATTGTGGTTTATAAGCGAATGTGAATATTAATGTATAGTAGTAATTTTGATTTTGACATGATTAAGGTAGTTAAACACCATGATCATAGTATTAAACTGTTTAATTGTAATGAGGATCACTTAAAATTGTTAAGGATATTCCTGGCATTAATGTCATACATATTTACTAGTCATTGCAATACATTATAACGGTCATAGTAGAACTAAGCCTAAATCTCTACATTACCACCCTCATACCTGGCCTTGCAATACTATATTACATTGTCACGGTCATACCAGGCTTTGCGATCCCATAATACATTGTCATGGTCATGCCAGGTTTTCAAATACACATTGTCACGGTCAATTATAACAATCATAAATTTCTACATCACCACTCTCATACCCGAACTTGGAATACTATATCACATTGCCATGGCGGTCATACCAAGCCTTGCAATACTATATCACATTGCCATGGCGGTCATACCAAGCCTTGCAATACTATATTACATTGCCATGGCGGTCATACCAAGCCTTGCAATAATATATTACATTGCCATGGTCATGCCAGGCTTTGCAATACACATTGTCACGGTTATAGCAGTCCTAATCGTAAATTTCTACATCACCACTAAAATACCTGAACTTGCAATACTATATTACATTGTCACGGTCATGCCAGGCTTTGCAGTACTATATTACATTTTACGGTCATACCAAGCCTTGCAGAACTATATTACATTGTCACGGTCATGGCACGCATTGCAATATAATACAGCATTGTCGCGGTTATACCAGGCTTTCACGATAACATTACCACGGTCATGGCAGGATCCTTGCGCTACTTAAAAAACACTGAAAAACATGGTGACGGTTACGCCAGGCGTTAGTCTTGCAACAGATAGGGTCTCAAATGATACAATCTTTGAAAATTTGATATCATTCATAGATAAAGAAAAAGATGAAAAAACATGATTTGAAAAGTGATCTATTTTCCTTTTTATGACCGTAATTTTTGTTTAAGACAATTTTCTAAAATTTCAAAAATTTTATCAGTTAGAGCATTACATTATTGGGCACATTTTCTGAAAATTTCAAAAGATTCTGTTCAGTGACCTTCCCTAGCTCCTACTTTTAGCTATTTTTCAGTCACATTTTCCTAGGGCTGAAAAGGTCATTTCACCATGTTTAGGGTCATTCTGACCATGAACATTGTGATCCTGGACCTGTAAATGGTATTTGGAACTAGTTGAATTGACTGGAGATCAAAACAGAACTCTGTTATCTTTGTTCAAAAATGTCTAAAATTATGCAAAAAAAATTGTCACTTCCTGTTTTGTCATTTCTTGTTAACTTCCATAGCACCTTAAATTTAGTAATCTCTGGAGATTTTGAACATTAGTGTATATGCTACTTCATGAATGTTCCCTTCATCTGTATCCTACATTTCCAAAAATTTGTAAGTTATCAGCTGCTTTTGTGGCGATCAGGACTTCTCTTTATCCTCAAGTAGATATTTATTACCGATAAACCAAAATGGCTGTTTTGACGGAAATTCATGAAGTAGCGTTCAAAGTTTCCTGAGATATCTAAATGAACTTTATAAAAATTCCTGAATTTCGGGTGCCTTATTTAGAAATCTCCCTCTAGCTCTGCCCACGCCATTCAAGATGGTATCTTCAGAAAATTTGTAATTTTTTGCTTCAAGCCATGTGAATGTGGAACCATATCAAAACAAAATCATAATTATTCATGACACACTTTTATTACTCGCTTTTCTCATATTTGAGATGATAACTTTTCGAAATTACTTCTCTCCTGAACGACACTGTGTGCCAATTGAATCCCTATGAAATAAATACTTATGATTTCAGTTTGAAATATGTCTTCACATTTAGACTACTGGAATAAACTAGAAGTAACCTTTAGTGAATCTGATGCGCCACAATGGAAATATTTTAAATTCAAGCTAGTATCTTATAATAAATTAGTCAAACTTCTGCAATGTAACTCATAAAATGATTTCATGATAAGCTTATTCTATTGATCATATTCAATATTTTAAGATTATCCTATTGAATATGCAGGTTTCTTAATTTAAACTACTTTTGGAGTTTGACATACTCTTACAATTTGACCTACTTTTGCAACTTGACCTACTTTTGCAACTTGACCTAATTATAAATACAATGAGTATAAGGACTCACCATTATGAGCCCACATAATGGTGCCATCTTTTCTTTATATCATTTTTAACAACTTGCATGAGACACACAATCATCACAGTATTTTTGTTTTAATTTCTTAAAAGTAAACATTTTCTATGAACTGATGAACTTCCTTGATAAAGTGACTATAAAATGGACATTTTATTGCAAGATACAGTAAAACCTGTCTTAGTGAACACCTCTCTATAGTGAACTGTGTTTATTGAGCACCACTTCAAGACACAATTACATTGACTCCTGTATAAAAAAAACTCTTTTGTGAACACCTACCTACAGTGAACACCTTTTGTGGCTAAACAGGTGATCACTATATACAGGTAATGTACACAGACAGATGAGGGATCCACACCCTTTTAACAAGTAAATTTATACTCAACTTTAGTATGCAATAAGTCACTGATACTTGACAGTTCAGTCAATATTCAACATTAGTTTATCAATGGTTGTCTAACTTTTCACAAAAAGCTGTGTAAACATTTTAAAACTAAGCCTTTGAGGTAAAATGCATGAGATACATTCAAGTGCTGTCAAGAGAAAATTTGATAAATGACTAGCTCTTCTCATCTTCAAACTCGATGAATTTTATTGATTTGACAAACCATTCAATAAACACCAATTAATATTAAGTGCTTTTAGCTGTCGAATTTCAATTGAAATAAGACCATTTGTTTTTTGCTACTTCCATCAAATGTAATAAACTAGGCCATGCTATTGTGTAATTATCATACTATCGAGTTTAATTCATTTTTGCAGTTACATTTTATATTCACAGACTTGCCAACCTAAAATGAAAATTTTTCGGGAGATTTAAAAAAAATTGCGGTAATTTTACGGGAGTTATTTTACAAATCCGGGAGTTTTTGCGGGAGTTTTTTTGAAAAAAAGCGGGAGTTTTTACGGGAGATTTTTAAAAAAACGGCAGTTTTTACGGGAGATTTAAAAAAACGGGAGTTTTTGCGGTAAATTTTGAAAAAAACGGGAGTTTTTACGGGAGATTTTGAAAAAACGTGAGATATTTTAAAAAAGGTATTTTTCGCGCTAAATTTCAAAAAACGTGACTTTTTTTACTGAAGATTCCAGAAAAAAAACGGGAGTTTTTGCGTAGGTTCTGAAAAAACGGGAATTTTTACGGTAGACTTTGAAAAAACGGGTTTTTTTGCGGTAGATTTTTAAAAAAACGGGAGTTTTTACGGTAGATTTCTGAAAAAACGGTAGTTTTTACGGTCGATTTCTGAAAAAACAGGAGTTTTTACGGTAGATTCTGAAAAAACGGGAGTTTTTACGGTCGATTTCGGAAAAAACAGGAGTTTTTACGGTAGATTTCGGAAAAAAACTGGAGTTTTTACGGTAGATTTCGGAAAAAACTGGAGTTTTTACGGCAGATTTTTGAAAAAAACGGTAGTTTTTACTTTAGATTTTGAAAGTTAATAAATTAGTTAGAACTTATAATCTAAGATAGATGTCACTTACGTTCATTATTTCACAGCAGTCCCTACCCATAATGCGCCTTATATTGCGGGAATATTTTGTTTAGCGCCATATAAAAACAAAATCTATTCTCCCGACAGAAGTATGACAGAATATGAACTGACCCCCGTTTGTGGACATTTGGTGTGGAAACTTATACCGAACTGATCGCAGAAAAGCAATTTGAATCATGGGAATGAAGTACTTTTAAGTTATTTATGAAAGTATCGATAGTGAACCATGGGAGCCAATCCTTGGAGTAAAAGAAAGAAGCATGCCTACAATAATCAAGGTCACAAATTTGTCAAATTCCTTTTAAATACGGTAGATTTCGACAGCAAAAAACGGAGATTTTACGGGAGTTATACCAAGAATACGGGAGATTTTACGGGAGTTATACCAGAAAACAGGAGATTTTACGGGAGTTATACCAAGAATACGGGAGATTTTACAGGAGTTATACCAGAATACGGGAGATTTTACGGGAGATTTCAGCAAAAATACGGGAGATTTTACGGCCATATTTTTAAAAAAATTACGGGAGATTTTAGTAGAAATACGGTACGGGAGTTTACGGTAGTTTTTACGGGAGAAAACGGTACGGGAGTTTGGTATTTTTTACGGAAAAACAAAACATTTACGGGAGATTCCCGTAAAAAAACGGGAGGTTGGCAAGTCTGTATTCATTATTTTCTTTGAATTTTTCTGTAATTTTAGTTTTAAGTTAGTGTTTAGTTTTCAACCAAACTTGTTTTAAAAAACCATCACTAAACAAAGGTTTCATTTTGAGCTAGCAAGTGAATACTTCAATTAATTTACACTTTTGTCTGAATATTTGAGAGGCTAAAATTTAAGTTGAAATTGGACTTTTACATCAATAAAACTTTTAAAATGTGTTTAGTATCAGTTACCATATTAGAGGTTTTATAGTTGATTAGCTGTTAGTTAACTTACAAATGCTATTCAGGCCGTTGACTTTTGCAAAGTTTAAAACTTGGTCCAAAACTGCCCACTGTGCAAAAGGAATTTTGCATTCAGCCAACCATGACCCCATGTGAATTAATGACATATCATTAAAAGAGGGGAAATATGTCATGATGCAAGTAAATGAAATTGATGGCGTCATCACTGGTTTTGTGGTTAAAGATTTATTTGCTCGTTGCATTTTTTTATATCCACTGTATAGAATTGATTTGATTTTATATTTTCAGCCTATGGTTAATATTCTGGTACTCATCACATTTTACTTTTTGCAAATGATATGGATCATCACAATGTTAACATTTTGTTTGTTCTTTGTTGCAGGTTGGGGAGATGGTATAGCATGGATGTCTTTTAAAGATGGTTTAGAAGCTTCAAAAGAAAGGTAAAAGTTTAATTACAAATGACGAGTACTATACATTTTAAAATTAAGGAACTTAAATTTCATTCCAGTACAGTAAATATTCATGTACTGTACATGGTTAACTACATTTTTCATCAAAATCCGATAGAAATTGAAAAAGTGAGTTTTCGTTGAAATACTTATAATGGGATAGATATTATTTAAGCCTTTTATCAGCAAGCAGCATCACTTATATATTCAAGTGATTACTAAAGAAACCAATATTTGAAATACAATATACTCCCACTTTCAAAATTTCAATCTTCACCTATTACGTGTACAAGGTTAACATTTACAAAACTTGTGACACCCTGCCATTCAACTCATATATCCAAAAGAGAAGTGACTATTGGACTTTGAGATTATTCCAGATTCCATGTACTAGATCTGGTAGATGTAAAACCATAACCACCTTTTGTCAGGGAGAGATCAATTTCTAAACTGGACTCATTTATTTTACTACCATACTTATATTGACTATATGTACCGTATTGTTCATAGTTTTATATTGTGTTTTCATTCATTTTTAGTGGGAAACCACTGATGCTAATCATACACAAGACCTGGTGCGGTGCTTGTAAATGTAAGTTAATGGAAAATATTTTTCATCCTCAACAGTTCTCCAGACATCATCTACTCTGTTTCTTCCTTCCTTAAAGGAGGTATGAGTTTTGGAAGCCTGTGTTGGGAGGATAACATTTTTCAAAAAGTAAATTGGATACCATAAATCAAAAGATTTCTTGATACGAAAAATAAAAGCTCAAAGTGCTTTCTTTGATAAAATAACTAACTAGAAATTTTTGTCAGTGAAAATGAGACTTGATAGATTCATAGCAATTTATGACTTATTTATTGGTTATCTTATGTGTAAAGTAGATCTAATTGTTAATCCCAAAATCAGTTGCTACAGTTGCCACCGGGTGCCTGTTCCTTGTCTGTCTCAAATATACCAGGAGAGTTTTAGAGAAAAATAGATTAACTTAAGGAAATTTGTTGGTCTTTTAATGTAGAATGCTGATGTGAACTGATAAGATATCAATTTATGCATATGCCATACAACAAGTATTACCCATGATATAATGTGATTATGCTACAGAAACTCCATAGCTCATTCATTACATAGCAAGATCACCTTAATTTGGCCATCTTGCCATCACATCTTGCAAATTCCATGATCATGAAATAACCTATAATTCTTGTTGCAGCATTAAAGCCCAAGTTTGGTGCACACAAGGGTATAGAAGAGCTTAGTGAAAACTTCATCATGGTCAATACAGAAGATGATGAGGAACCTGAAGGAGAAACTTACAAACCCGATGGTGGTTACATTCCTAGAATTCTATTTTTAAGTAAGTTCTTCATTTTAATAAGTAGAAATGCTGCCAATATACTTACTCTTTTTGTAAATCTATAAAATAAACTTTTTGTTAAAGAATGAAAAGCATGTGACCTCATGCTTATTGAACAATAGGTATTATTTCCTAGGCTGCCTATTCATTGTATAGAAAATGTCAGGGCAGTATTCACAATACTGAACTGATACAAAGTTAAAGGGAGAATCGGATCCATAGGGAGTGACAAAATTGCAAGCAACATGTACAGTTAATCTACCAATGCAATATATTCCTTACAATCTCAAATATTATATCTTCAAAAGATCACCAATATGTTATAAATCGGTGAAGTTATTAACGATTCAAAGTTCCAAAATGGGTAAAAACTAATTTTGCCTTTAAAAACTAAAAAGTTTTACTTTTGAGATTTTAGCCAAGAATCGCATACAAAATGCTTTTGTCCATGTTTTTCTTTACTAACTTGATTATACAGAGCAAGATTTAAACTGAATGAAATTATAAAAATAAGTAATAGTTTGTCATTCTTTGATTTATTTAGACTACAAACACACATATATCTTACATTTTAGGGATTTTGGATAGTACACTTATAATATTAATTACTCTAATTCTCAGTTTTAACATCTGTCACTCTAATGATCATATTTCCATTGCAGAAACAGATACATTAGAACAGATAGAGATGTGGTACCTTTGATGAATATCTCTGTTTTAAGAGTATGCCACGAATATTTCATTAATCAGTGATGTTCTATGCATTTTAGATTCTGCTGGTGAGGTGCAGACAGATATCATCAATGAAGGTGGCAATCCTAGTTATAAATATTACTACCCAGATCCTGCTAATAGTAAGTTAATCCTCATCCTTAAAATAATATCATGGCAAATAGATTTAAAATGGAATAGATGATAGCAAGTTAATTCTCATCCTAAAATCGGAATACAATGAAGATAATAAACACAATAATTTATACTGCAATTTGTGTGTAAAAGTTCTATAAACTATATATTTTATTTATTAAATAAAGAAATCAGTAAATATTCAAAAAGTGCTTATGCTCATGTGATCATAGTCTAGCTACAAGCCTTTGTGCCCTCCACTATACCTCCCCTATGTGAGAAGTTTTCTTACCTGTGTAGTCAAGTAATGGGAGGAGGGTCACAGGGGCTAGTAGTTAGACTAATGTGATCCTTAAAAAATTGACATTTGACTAATTTTCTTCCAGTTCATAAGACCATGAGTAAAGCTAAAGATTCAATAAAAGCTGTAGCTGCTGACAGTGAAACTGTTAAGGAAGAAGAACCTATAGCAAGTGATGGTGGTAGAGATCCTGAGGGTGAACTTTAGAAAATTATATCATCAAAATATGCTCAGTAAAACCTGTCCATGTTAACACCTCTCAGTGTTAATTTCAATAGAATCTGATTCAAGATTGAATGTACAGTGTAATATACTCCTGCTTGCCAAGCATAAGAGGAATATCATTGTTTTTTGTCTCCTTTACTGACAAACATACCTTTTCTGTGATATGACGATGTGCATTATGAGTGTTAACATAGATATGTTTTACTGTGGCCTCATCTCCATCTAAACATTTGTGTTGTTATGACAACTCCCACATTAATCACCCATACTTTACCAGGACACAAATAGTACTTACCTCTGTCTTAAAGAACAAATGATATTTGGAATATTTGAATAATTAATATTAATATTTGGGGTATTTGAACAATTAATATGTTGTCAGTTTGTCAATTTTATTTAACATGTGGACACCTGTGGATTACCATTTGCATTCATTTGACTTAGCTTCTTAAAAGAAAGTTTTGTCTGCCTTAGTTAAAGAACTAGACTCTTTGCTCAGGGTATCTTTGGTTGGTTTTTAGGCTAACTAGATTTATCATTGATCGCGTCATGTTGTTGCATGTTGATAAATGTAGTTGAATAGTCTGGTCCTGAAATTAAATGAAGGACTTTGTCTCAATATAAACCTATGCATTATTATCTGATATATAGTAAGTTGATAGATTCCCATGTTTGTCTAAATATGGTAAAGTGACATCTATTATGCACTAAAAATATTTATACAGAAAGACAATTCTGACATGTTATTGATGTTCTTACATGAAATGTAAATACAGCTTGACAATGTTCAAAACAAGTCATTAAAACAATAAATATATTGTCAAATCCTACATGATGTATCATGTTTATTTATTCCAATGTGTCACCACAATGTCATAAATTAGAGTATTGACATATATTAGTGGACTGATATACTTCTTATTAGGGAAATATGTTGTGAAATATTTCAGATTTTGAACAAATTTGTTTGTTGGGATTTGTCAATTTGGCACTGCCATTTTTGAGTTATAATATATACTCCTCAAAAAAAGTTGAAGACCAGTGGTTTTCCTCATAGGTTTTCATGTTAACCCCCATATTTGTTTGAATGGCTATTTTCTAGGCTTGGAACAAAAGAAAATCTGATAAAGTTAATAAATCTGTATCTTGATTCTATTCTCTATAAGGTCTGCAAAATTCAATGTTATATCTCCATTACAATGGATCAAAATTTGATGTCAAAATTGATGAATTTCATGAAATTAAGAAAAAATGGCCCCATGTAAACCAATAGGAAATGGTTGGGTTGCCATAAGTCATATGAGGAACGTTCCATCCATCAGATTGCTTTCAAAATTCAATTCAATTTTCTAAATTGTCCACTGGAACAAAAATATGATTTAATTTTCCAGGTTTTAATGATCCTCTTATTGAAATAACACAGGTGGTCAAAATTACTTTAAAGCTCTGTATCGCTAATTTTAACAATATAAGCAAGACATTTAGCATGTAAAACATTTCGATTTTCTACTCAGAGAGTATTTTTAACAATGTTTTATTGAATAGATATTCCAAAATTTGAGTTGCCCCTAAGTCACCATTCCCCATTTGTTTAACATGGGATCTGCCATTTTTGTTAAACATTAAATTCATCAATTTTGACATCAAAATATATGCATCTAAATATTTTCAACATTTCTCAGCAGTAATACCATCTTGGTTACTTAGGTCAAAAGCCTTCTCTATATTCCGGCTTTGAGTGATTGTTACAGCAGCCGTGGTATTCAGTATTTGTAAATCATGGTGACACACACATTGTTACGGCATAATTATATGAAACATACCTTTACGCATACATTTGCAGAATATCAGCTCATATCCCCGTCTCAATCGATTTTCATATGGGATTTAATTTAGCTAAGTGAAATTTTGTTTAAAAATGGCCTCAAATTTTCTGCTGAGTGAGCTGTATAAATGGTGGATCTGTTGAGTTTGAAGTTCTTTCCGAAAAGAAATTTTGAAATATCTAAATTCAAACAATCAATGGGATGAGCTCAATATAATAAATATTCTCACAAATACTTATAAAAAATATTAAATAGGAGTTCTAGGTACTTGTGACACTTTTTCTAGAGTACATATGAAATCAATGAACAACAACAGACAAAAGACTTAACAATAGACGTGGTATTCAACCCATGGAGTGACATTACCAATAGATACATTAAAACAAACAAATATTTATATTCTAATTAGTTTTTATTGCAAAAACTGCTAGCTGCAAAGCAATATAAAGAAGCTCTTACAAATACATGCAGTCACATTAACTGAGTCAAATAGTATCAAATACTTCTATGTTTAAAAATGCTGCACATTAAGTGACAATCAATAATGCAGGATAAAAGTCTCCGACTAAAACCCTAGTCTAGCAGTATCCTGTAACCCCCCTCCCACTTCTTGACTACACACCTTCTCACACAGGTGGGGAGGTGTGTAATGGGGGGGGGGGTTCTCACAAGGGCTCGTAGCTAAGACTACAAAAACCCATCACAGACTGTTTACATATGAACCTTAATATCAGAATGATTATTTGAATACTAGTAATAAATATATAAACTGAAGGCCAGACCCTAAAAGAAGCTGTCAGAGATTTTCCGTTTCTGAAATTAATGAAGACCAAAGAATGTTTCACAATGAGAGTGTAAGTGAAGCTCTCCTTGAGAGACACAAAGGGTAATGTGGCAATGTTGTCCTTGTAGCTAATTGTAGGGCACTCAGTGTATGCAGTAGTCATTTGTCCAGCAACTACCTACATGGATGACATTCCCTCCCTGTACTCTATATAAACTATGATTTTACTCTTCAAAGGACAGTATATGGAGGATTGAAGTCAAGTTTCACAAATGTGCATGATACAAAAAATCATGTTGATATATAACACATCATATTGAACTTAAGTCTACAAAGTTAAAATATTTTGCGAAAAAATATCTACATTGTACATTCTAAAGACTTCACCCAATTACACATAAATGTATATTATATACAGGGTGGTCCAAAAAAAAGTGAACCCCTGCAACAGGCTACAATTTTCTTAATACATGCATGAATTGGCTCATATTATCACATGTTGTAGAGAAAGGTCTAAAATTTTGGTTGATGCCATAATTTATTCTCAGTCTTAAATTTTGAAGAAATTACAAGCGTTTAACAAACATGCCTGGAAATTAGATATTGTACAAAATCTTACAAATGTGATTCACGGAAATTGTTGAAACACATTGGATGATCTTAAACAGCTTTCAGTTAGAGATACAAGTTTAAAACCCTACCATATGACAAAAGGGACACTATTCAAGCAGAAAACACATTTCACACTTTCATTGATCATTTTGAAGCATTTTTAACTGTTCAACAGTTCAGGGGTATGTTACCTACACCAACAGTTCGAGGGGGGCCTCTTATGGAAGGAAGTTGCCCCCTGTGACCAGGAATCTGATAACCCCTTCATCAAATATCTTTAAAAAATCAAAAGAAAATCCAATATTCAATGTTTTGAGCCATATATCATTAGAATTGGTCCATTATTTATGAAGATATTGATATTTCAAGATCATATAGGGGTATGTTCATGATTTCACTGGAAAATGTTTTCGTCTGTGGAAGCTTAGCACATCTCTTTGGATCACAATAACTTTGCAACTAGCAAATGTAGGATGCTAGTTTTAAGCCATAATGTGCAAGATTTAAAATTGAACAAAGTCAGAAAATATTAGTTCTTTAAGACTGCAGCTTAAAAAATTCTCAGGGGAAAGGTGTTAAAGGGTTGAAGAATTGCAGATATTGAAAATCATAATTTGTCCATTTTCAGTAATGTTTGGTTAGGGCTTATAATTTCTGCAAATTTCAAGACTAAGAAAAATGTATGGTACCAACATAAATTTTAGACCTTCATCTACAACATGTGAAAATAAAAAATAATTCCTGCAAGTAATAAGGGAAATATAGCCAGTTGCAGGGGTTCACTTTTTTTTGGACCACCCTGTATATTAAAAGTATATTTAAAATATAACATGCACATAGGAATACTGTTGCATGTGTAATTTGACAACATCAACTAAAATCCTTTAAAAATTATATAAAATACGATAGGCAATCTTTTACTGACTGTTTACATAGATGAAGCAATACAAAAGAGAATGACAATGTATTCACATCATGTGTATGTGTATAGTTATCTCCATAGCATTTAAGAGGAAACCCTGTTGAAAATATGTTTATATCCTGTAAAGCAGTATGAAATGTTGACCAAAACAATTAAAATTAGGACTCTGTTTTGAAAAAACCTGGGAAGATCACTTAAGTCCATGATGTGAACAACTACAATAACAATGAATAATATGATACATCAAGAAATGTACTCTGAATAGAACCCAACTTCAATCAGAAAAATGGGTTCAGAATGAGCAGTTTATGATCATATGGCAGGTTATGAATGTGGCAGTATTATTATAAGGAGGTATAATTAAAACTAGTGCACTGCTTAGAGCCATAGCTACTACAAAAGCAACAAACATCAACTACAGTTACTACACCTAAGGTACAATAATAATATTCAAATTATAGACAACTTATACTTCATTGGAAAACAATTTAAATCTTGAATTTCTATCTTAATGAAGATAGACCTGAGATTCCATTAAATGTTTTAAATTTTAATTGTTTCACCTGTTTTTAATAACTATTCCACATAATTTTTCAATGACTGATGTAGAATATAAAATCTACACTAAAGAACTATTAAAATTACAGAATATATACAGGATAGTCAATATACATGTACAAGGGTTGTTCAAAAAGTTTTGCACAAATATATGTAGTATTATTAATCAAGTCACAATCACTGAATGGCATTGTAGATAACTTCATACAGAGAACAATGATCGCATGGGAGAAAATGATATTTACACTGAGGAATGTTTATGAATGAACAAATGCAACTGCATTATTTTGATTACAGTAAAACCTGTAAAAATGAACATTTGTGTTATTCTAACATAATATCATTTATTCTCTTCCATAAAACCTTAGATCAAGTTGTGAACATCCACCTATTGTTCAAATCAGTCTAAGTAACAGTGAAATGTAACAGCTTTTACATAAGAGCCTTATACATGCACTTGTTTTGATAATGTATAGAAAAGGAAGAATCTAGGATTCCATCTTTTACAGAATTGAATCTGAACAAGTTTTATAGGAAACTTTATGCCAGGCATAAATTTTGTTCAGATTCAATTCTGTAAAAGATGGAACACTATATTCTTCCCATTTGATACATTATCAAAATAGATATAAGGCTGTTTAGTGTTACATGATTTATCTTTCAATAACGCCTATGTTGTTGTTTCAGTAGTATATAATTACATACATATTACATATGTATGCATACTTTTTTGGACAGGAACATTAAATATGTCAAACTATAGCTAGCCATAGACAAGTCACTATACAGAACAAGTACAAGTATAAAAAAAACATGATTTATATTGTATTCTATACACTGAAATGCATAAACACAAAATTGTTATATGGAACAGGAAAATGGCTGAATGACATATCTTGTAATTGTGACTTAACTCAATTTACCTGTAGTCTCTTGATTTATAAAAATATATTACAAAATGTTGATTACCATCAGTCATTTTGGTGATTCTGGGTTACAACTCATATTTGAGGTATGAATTATCATAGTTTTCAGAGTGAATCTTCTACTGTTTTATACTATTTACAGCCATTCTGCACCAAGGTTTGCCATCTACAAAAATTGGAATGTACCTTGCGTGGAATTCAGTCCTATGATACTTGTCCATCTACTTACTTGAATGTACTTTGGAAGGACTTTGGTGGTCTAGGAATGTTCCATGATTTGGAATTCATTGGAATGCTTATTATGGACTTTCAACTCGCAGTTGGACTTACAAACAGACCCTGCGTCTTATGGCAAACACAATCAGTATGATTCCTGCGACTAGTAATAGTCCAGGCCAGATCATCACATTTATGGCAACGGCATCAGTCACTTTGTAGATTACAACTTTGTTGAAATCCTCAGGGTTGTAGTAACAGGGATATTCTGAGCCTCGAATACCGTATTCATCTTGCCACTCTTTAATCTTGTCTGTATTCACTTCTTTGTTTGCGTCACACCAGTGCCAGGCACACTGAAAAAACATAATAAAAATGACATGTAAAACTTACAAAGGACCCCCATTATGTAAGTGCAATGGCAAATGACTTGAAGTAAGACAAGTAAAAGACAGAAATACATGTGAGCATCAAATTGCCATCAATGTGTCATTGTGGGATCCATACCCTGTACTATCCTTTGAATTCCCTTTCAAGCATATGACGAAGGGGGCTGTTTGGATATGAGATAGATGCTAGTATAATACTACAATATAGCCATAAAGAACCACTCATAACTGTCAAAATCAAAGTTTGTGACAAATAGCCAAAAGTTTCTATGAGAGCTAAGCTCATTCATGCATTTAAGTTACACTGACACCAGGCAGCATTCACTGTAACACCACTGTAGTTCCAAAGTAGTAAAACTGTACCTGATTTTCTGATTATGACAATTTATCCCAAATGCTTCTATTTGAGCTCATTCATGCACTCAAGTTACTATGACACCAGTTAGAATTCACTATAAAACTGTAGTACACGTAGTTCCAAAGTGGAGCAACCGTACTTACTTTTATGATTCTACTGCTACAATTTTGTCACCAGGCAACACTTTCTCAGTCTGATTTTCTTGTAATGTCATGAATTTGAAGAGAGTGTTACCTCAACATAATTTATGTACAACTTTTTAAGACATTTAAGAGACATATTGAATAAATTGAAGAAGGAATGTAGCATTCCCTTATGTAAAGAATATTATGGGCATTGTATAGATTATTCTGAAAGACAAATAGCTTCAACAGGGTTCGTACACCTTTTTCAAAATGAAATTCCCTGACATTTCCCTGACATTTCCAGGCAAGAAAGAAAATTTCCAGATCAAATGCATGCACGGCCTCATAAAAAGTCTCAAACAACTGTAATATTTAAAAGACAAGACTTATTATGAAACATTGTGGGTTCTCCTTGAGCACCATTTCTCATGACTTAATTTATTTCTTATTCACCAATTTATTTCCTGATACACACTATTTTTAATGTTTTACATTCCATAAGGCCAAAGGTAAAAATACATCACGTACAGGGGCGTAGCCAGCAAATGTCAAGGGTGTGCAATTCTTTGGGTTTGGATCACTGCAAGAAAAAGTAACCAAAAAGGGGGTACGGGGGTTCACCCCCAGAAATTTATTACAATTTTCATTGTATTTGGTGCATTCTAAGCATTTCAAACTATAATTTGTTAAGTTTTGTAATAAATCCAAATGACAACTGAAACTTAAAAATTTTGATCTAATATCATTCTAGAAAAATAACAACTCCGTTGAGGGGAAATTCCCATGCACCCAATGAAACATATTTTATCAAATACTGATCATTGTGAACATAATATGATAGCAATAACCTGGTTTTACTATTGTCTTCTTCCTTTTGGGAAAATCTAAACCAAAACATGATACCTTTATTAGAAATTCCTTCTCAAGTAGCCTCACAAAAAGGCACAGGCCTATGATACAAAATCAAATAATATTTGTGTTATCAGGAATCTTATTTCTTATTTTCAAAAAGTTCATAAAAAATGGTGGCTATTTGAATTCAGAGACCATCTTAAATATTTCTTCTTGAGCAGGTCCTTTGTCCCTGAGGTATTGCCATATAAAATTTGAGACAAAGTAAAACTCTAGGTTCATCTTTACATGAAGAAAGGTTCTAAATTCTTTTGATTCTGGGTTGTTTCCTCCCCTTCCCTTGAAATTTGGACCAAATCTAAAAACAGTTCATAATGTTTTCAAAATTAATTTTTTTCATGAAAAATGGCAAAAGTATGTTCTTGAGCAGAGGCCCTATATAACCAAAGCATCGGAATATAAAATTTGAACCAAATCTGTCAACTGATATTTGAGTTATCGCCATGACAAATGGACAGATGAATAGACTGATGTACCACAGGACTGTCTAACAGACAGCTTCTTAATATAAATACAGTTTTACATTGAAAAGAGTTCCCGGAATTATTTTTGTTTTTCACCTAGCTCCCACCCCCCTCAACAAAACATATACCGTTAATTAACTTTGAATGGCCCAAGACTAACTTATGGAGAAGCATAATTGCATTGAACCATTTGTACATTATATGTATATTCTTTATTGCTTGGTTTCAGTATAATGTTCAAACTGTTCTTACAAATAGACAATATACCAGATTAAATGTCATTCAATCAACCCTAATGAAAAGATTTCAATTTTGTGGAAACAACTAAATGTTAGATTTTGGATTTTATTGGTATCCTGTCATAGCCCTAAAACATATTTTGCTGGAACATAATTTTTTCAACAATGATACAAAATTCCCTGACATTTCCCTGACATATCTACGGTTTCAAAATTCCCTGACATTTTTGGCCCTTTTTGACCCAATTTCAAAATTCCCTGACATTTCCAGCACCTGGAAAAATAAATCAATTTCCCTGACATTTCCAGGTGTGTACGAACCCTGTTCAAGTATATGGGTTAAACTGGTAAAGAAAATAGAAAATACAGGAGACATCCCGATGATCGTCGAACACTAGTAACTTGATTTAGAGACAGAATATATTTTTATAAAAATCTTTCTTCAAATAAAGTATACACTTTGGGGATTTTTAAAAAATATATATGATAAGGAATGATATCAGACAAAAATATTAAATGGAAACGATTTAACCTTGCTCACTAAATCTGATTCTCGCTTAAGTCTAGCCATTTATACATGTATTTTAAGGTCATTAGCAGGTACATTGGAATACATCTTAAATGGTATGTTTTGGACAATGTTGACCTTATAATGCATTTTGGTACATGCATTAACCCATTTATTTTTGCTATAATTCAGGTGAAAATAAAAACACAAATATTTCAACAAGTATTGTAAGTCATTATAAATTCATCAATGCATCACCTTCAATGATTTTAAACAAGATGAGATAAATGTCATTGTAACCTTCACTACAGTCATTTACTCATTTATATTTATCTTATGTTCATTTTGGAGTTTAATATTCAGTATTAACTCATTTATAAAGTATCTTATGTTCATTTTGGGGTTCAATATTCAGTGATAAGCGATATGAGTATCAGTGCCAGGAGCCATCTCATTGGCAAGCAAAAGAGAATGTTCATGTATGTTAGCTCACACTGAGGCCTTGTTGCCATTGTATTATTCCATAGATAGTCATGACTAGGGGAAGGGGAAGTTACAAAATGGGGAATTGGACTCAAATACTTCAGATGAAATTAAATTGTTGACTCAGAAATTAGTTTGTTGATACAGAGGGGGTAGCATATTGCATGGAAGTTGGAAAATCATTTATTCACCCTGATCAGTTCTATTCATATAAATGCAATTTCATCTAAATAGTAAATACTTACATTGTAGTGAAAGGTCCCTGAGCCTCCCGGTGCCTGCTTTTTACTATCATACATGTGTTCATAGTCATGGTACAGCTCTGCAGCATATCGTGGTTGGTTGTAACGATCATTATAATCTACATGAACCTCCAAACAGGGGTAATAACCTCTACAGTCAATCCCTGGGCACCCACAGGTAATGTCAAGAGCTGTGAATTTACTGTCAACAACTCTGCATGTTGTGCCCCAATACAGCCTCGTGGGCCAATGTTTGGATGTATATACCACACCAAAGACAATTAACATGGCCACGGCAGCTACTGTACAACATATTCCCACAATGAGCATTATTTTCTCACGTTTGTAAAATGCATTTGGCTTATTGTATTTTTCAGTTTCATCAAATCTATCCATTTGGTCCATTGAATGGCGGCGTCTCTCATCACTAAAACTTATTTTATCTACAGATCCGCGTCCACTCTCATCATCATATTCCACCTTCTCCATAGACCCACGACGCCTATTTTCATATACCATTTGCTCTCCCATGGTGGAATGAAAGACTTCAGCACACCAGGTAGAAATCAAACAACCTACTTATGATCTGAAATATAAAGATGAAACAAAAACTTGAACAGGAGATTTTTTCCGAAATTATGTTACGAAGATTTTAGAAAGTAAGGGTACAAAGGAGATTATGCCAACACATGGATTCAATGTAACATATTTATAGAATTACTCACTTTATCTACCAAAAATTAATTAAATATCAGACCCTTGTTTTTGCAATGCTTCATTTTCTTACATGCAGACATGTTGGTGAAGGCAATATGTTTTTCCGAATATATATTCTAGTTTTACATAAATCATAAGAGCCCTAGTGAATTATCAAATGTCTATCCTAATTTTCACTTCTGTCACCCTCCCTCCCCTTAAGGACATGGGCACATAGGCACAATAAGCCTTCAATTAAATAAAGTCATAATTTACTTAACAAGATCTCAGATATTTCACCATCTAACTGAAATGACTAAATATCTTAACCAATCAAAACCTGAAATTTCCATTTCAGTACCCATCAATTCAAATAGATTTTAATGAAATACTGGACATCCAATAGAGTACATGTAATTCATTAGACTTATCCAAATATGACACTTAAATTGATGCACACAGACTACTTTTGATCTCAGTTGACATTTGTTTTTAAAAATCTGCTGATTCAGTTCGTAACAAAGGCCAAGATTTCAAATCAGATATCAAGAAAAAGAAATCAAAAAAATAATATTCAAGACCTCGCCAAAACACTGTCATTTGAACTATATGGATACATGTGAGGCTCTCAAAATTTCACACAGTAGAATTATGACTGGCCATTTGTGTTGGATTACTGAACACAGCTGGCTCAAAAGCCAGCTGAGGGAACGTTCAAATATACCATCTTGTGAAGTGGTTTTCTCCAACTTCCAGCAGGCACACTGGAATAAGTTAACGGTATTTAAGAAAATAATTGAATGTAACTAGCCCTTTTCATGATGCGTGGTGACAATAAGTCCTACTTGTTGTGTAACTTGCAGTTAACGTGGAGAAATTCCAGATCTGGCGCACCATTTTATTACTTTTTGCGCATGCGTGCACATGCGCATTGTACTTTACATGCGCATGGGCATTGCCGCTAAAAGATCATATTTACCTAACGCAAGTTATTTTGTTGCAAATCTTTACTTTCGAAAGTCAAGAGATCTCGGGAGACCTAAAATGGCTGCAATCTAAATTCAAGTTTTGTTGTCTAATAGAACATTGATTTACTACAACAGCAGACTGTTGAAGGATCAAAATAAGGTAACAACAAATAAATTATGTATTGATTCAAATATATAGCGTATTATGAACGCTACTCAGCACAGCGTTTAGTCAAAATGGGCTCAATTTTTTCTCTTCAAGAATTTTCAATCCAGCTTCCCAGAGCTGACACAGAGTAAGTGTTGGAGTATAAAGTTGAGCTAAACTAAAACAATTGGACCCATCTCACTGGACCCCACCTTGAGTAAGTAAGAGGCTCCTAAAGCAGTATTTAATTCTTCATTAGTCATCAGCGGGGTCATCAGGCATTGAACACCCGGAAATGTTCGTTGACTCATTCTGAATCTTTCAAAAATCATGTTTACCTGTAGGCTATTGTTTACAATTACAAGTTCGTTTTCGCCATGAAAAAATATGTAACGCGGTGAAACTATTCCTCAAACGCAGCTACGAGTAAGGATCTATAAGGGAAATCATAAAAATACATAAAAAGATGACAAATGTGGATATTAGCACCAAGTTCACTTACCTTTAAATTTTTACCTGCCAATATTATGAAATCTAGGTCATGACCATCCACATAGAGTTATTTGCTGCTGCAAATATACGAACGTCAAATAGGTCCAGTCAAATACATGTTCGCCTTTCTAAGGGCAACTGTAGGCTTATTGGCAACCCATTGAGCACTACCAATCATCATTATTCAGTTATCAGTTGTTAAAATCACATTGTTCCCGCTCTCTGATTTTCCGAAGAATGTTCCGTCGGTCGCCCAGAACGTCCTCCATACGTAATTCGCGCTTAGTTCACTTGAATTTGTTCCACTGACTGGCAGACCAAATTGTTTTGAAATAGATACTGGTTGGCGGAATTGTTTGGCTGATGTTGGAGCAAAGCTTCAAATAATCGTCAGTACTCACCTTTTTGACACCAATTACATCGCAAGACATGATTTACCAAACTCTCCTCCCAATATTCCAGTTTGACAATACTTCAAGACCTCTTCAAAAAGCTAATTGTACTAATATCCGATATGAAGCATCATTCTAAAATGGTCAGTTTTGTTTAAATTGGAAAAAGACCATCTAATCCCTGCTAATCGTCTTGGAACAGTAGATAAAATCTTAGTGTTGTCATCACATAAAAGATACCATGCGCGCAGAGTATAATAAGAAACTACTGACATGACTGAAGACGAAGCTCTCTTTTAAGAAGTGAAGTCGAACAAATGCAAAAGGTATATAAAAAGGTGAAAGGATAAGCCCCCGGTGGTAAGCCTCAAATAGTTGTTTTTCGTCTCCAGAGTAACTTCTTATGAAATGGATATTCCGATAATCTGAATTTTGACTTGACCAGCTATGATTGCTTTCAAGGTGGGCGGGAGCCCAGCGGTCGAAATATGTTACTATGAGGACCATTGAATTGATCAATCAATTAACTAAAGATACATGTAATATATTATGATATTTGGGTTCAAGAGCTTACATAACAAGAATAGTAAAATAGTAAATAGTAAAATAGTAAAACTGGGATGAAGAAAAGCATGAAATACTAGTAAATAAAGTATTTTCTCATTGGAATGCGAGACAGGCTATTCAAATGAACGGGGAATCCTCAGTGATCTCAGAAGTCTAAATACATATTTAGCAATCCCTGGATGTATTTTTATACATTTAGATTATTTTTAGAATATAATCAAGGATGTACTCCACATTTTTGTTTACAATTTCGCAACGAGAACCAAAATTATCTTTTTTCTTTAGAAGTGCGTCATCCTAAATCATTAAAAGTAAGTTCATCATATTAAAATAAAATAACTAAAATAACTGAAGATAAAGAAATATTTTATTCTATTTCAAAATGAATGCAAGGGTTAACATTTAACCAAGTAGATTAAATGCCATCTGTCCTATATAAAGAAATCAGCCCACTAATTGCTCAATTGTTCTCAGTGAAACTTTGCTGAGAACGCCTGAAAATTTGCTTGAGCTGTTGAACTATCTCTGGAAGTAAAATTCATAGAATGGTAAGTGCTCATTTAAAACTTTCATTATTTGTTTTCATAGTTTTTAATCCTTCTCAAATGTTATCAATTTAATTTCCTCTCGGATCATCAAAGGCCGTAGAAGACGCTATTCAGCTTTGGGGAACAACTTTTTGAATAAGAATATAACAAGAAAACTCCTTTTAAGGATCCATAGTAACTCACAAAAGTTGTGATTAATACATGAAGCCATGTAATGTAATCACCCGTTTATTTGAATATTACAGATTTTTCATGGCTAAGCACATTTCTAATTTTGCACTTCTATTTTTATAGTGTGACTTTTTTTTAGACGGATTCGTTTTTGCTCATTTATCCATAAATACATCAATTTTTGTTATGTTAAGTCACTAGCAATGCTATTACCAGGTACCAATCAAGGCAAATATTCCAGATTCAAATGTTTCAGCACTAAAATTTGACGGCGCGAAACGCCGTCGAAATCCGGTGGGACTGAATAGACGTGTGAATACCTGGTGCAATAGGAGGGTTGGTGTAACCAAATTTTTAAAACGAGAATTTAACGTTTTCCCTGGAATTTTCAACATTGTCATCATCTTATTTTCAGAACAAAGTTTTCCTGCTGCATTTAGCCATCGTTACTTCCCTTTGCGTTATTGGTAATGGAGCACCAACGGCCTCGGCTAAACCAGTTAGCGTAACAAAATCAATCAGCGTCACGACAGACGAACCCATCAAAGAATACACAAAAGATGATAAAGCCAAAGGTGAACCAGCTTCCCCGCTTCAATCCGCTTATTTTGCAGAGATACAAAAGTCAATGCGCGCTCTCCCGAATGAAAATAACATTAAATTAGCGATGGGGTACTGCTTCTTGCGTCAATGCAGCCATTTATTAAAATGCAGCAACATGATTCTTGGGTACGAAATTTGGAAAGCTCAGAATATTCGTCCTGTCACTTTGCTTACGAGTGTAGGGCCCTTGACAGCGTATTGCTCAAATGGAGATTGTTCGACGGTCATTGAAGATTACGAGCGTTGGCGCGAGGAAAACGGATACGGAGTGGATGGGGGAAGATGGGGATGAAAGGCACCGACCGCTTGGACAACAATCAAATTATCATTACTAATTACCAGAAAATTCATATTTATGGATAAAATAATGATTTAGTTCAAAATTCAAAAACATCCATTATTACAACCGTATTACAGACATTAATTTTCGTAATAACAGTAGTCAGTATTAGAATGACAATAGCTTTAGATTGGTGATCTATTTTGAAGTTAGGAACCTTTTATGTAAAATATTAATTAAATGATGTATCATTTTACAAAATCGGTCAACTTTTACCCTGGGCGGAAAATTTTGATTTAAAATAACGAAGGGAGCTGTTTTTAAGTCAGAACTGCAAAACGAATGCTTAAACTCTGGCCTCTAAGCTCAGGGTAAATGTTTGCCGATTTACGGGTATCATTGTGTAAACATTAAAAAAAGTTCTTACAACAAGGCATTAACATGACAAAATGTCACCACCTAAAACAATTTGGTGAATTTAAAGCAAGTTGGAAAATACTTTGACCTTGAGAAGGTCATTGAAGGTCAAAGGTCAAATCTAAAGTCAGATTTGAACTTCTGAGAACTTGTAAAGTCAAATTTGAACTTTTGAAAAGATGTAGATGATTTTGAAAAAAAAATTTGGTCAATTTGAAGCAAGTTGAAAACAGACCTTTTTGACCTTTTTTGACCTTGAGAAGGTCATTAAAGGTCAAATGTCAAATCTAAAGTCAGATTTGAATTTCTGAGAACATGTAGATGATTTTGAAAAAAAAAATTAGTCAATTTGAAGCAAGTTGAAAAAGACCTTTTTGACCTTTTTTGACCTTGAGAAGGTCATTGAAGGTCAAATGTCAAATTTAAAGTCATATTTGAATTTCTGAGAACATGTAGATGATTCTGAAAAAAATTTTTAGTCAATTTGAAGCAAGATGAAAAAATACCTTTTTGACATTGAGAAGGTCATTGAAGGTCAAATGTCAAATCTAAAGTCAGATTTGAATTTCTGAGAACATGTAAATGATTTTGAAAAAAGAATTTAGTCAATTTGAAGCAAGTTGAAAAAAGACCTTTTTGACCTTTTTTGACTTTGAGAAGGTCATTGAAGGTCAAATGTCAAATCTAAAGTCAGATTTGAATTTCTGAGAACATGTAGATGATTTTGAAAAAAAAATTTAGTCAATTTGAAGCAAGTTGAAAAAAGACCTTTTTGACCTTTTTTGACTTTGAGAAGGTCATTGAAGGTCAAATGTCAAATCTTAAGTCAAATCTAAAGTCAGATTTGAATTTCTGAGAACACGTAGATGATTTTGAAAAATTTTTTTAGTCAATTTGAAGCAAGTTGAAAACAGACCTTTTTGACCTTTTTTGACCTTGAGAAGGTCAAATGTCAAATCTTAAGTCAGATTTGAATTTCTGAGAACACGTAGATTTTGAAAAAAAAATTTAGTCAATTTGAAGCATGTTGAAAACAGACCTTTTTTGACCTTGAGAAGGTCATTGTAGGTCAAATGTCAAATCTAAAGTCAGATTTGAAGGTCAAATGTCAAATCTAAAGTCAAATCTAAAGTCAGATTTGAATTTCTGAGAACATGTAGATGATTTTGAAAAAAAATTTAGTCAATGTGAAGCAAGTTGAAAAAAGACCTTTTTGACCTTGAGAAGGTCATTGAAGGTCAAATGTCAAATCTAAAGTCAGATTTGAACTTCTGAGAACATGTAGATGATTTAGAAAAAAATTGAAGTCAGTCTAAACAGTATTTGTTAAGTTATAGGAAGTTGTAAGAAATTGTTACAGACGCCGGACGCCGGACGCCAACCTCCAACCTCCAACCACCAACCGCCGTCGCAAAAAAACGGAGACCATAACAATATGTCACCACTTTTGGTGGTGACATAAAAAGGATGATCCATTTCATTATTCAAAGTATTGGTTTTCAAAATATATAAAACGTCAAACATCAACATTGTGGTTAATGAAAACACAGAATGAAATTCTACGCTAATGGCTCCAAAATGCAAACTATGTAATTAATTTGAAATTGGATAAGTTACATTCAATATTTCGGCTATGGATTTTGAAATTGTAATTTTTTAGATATTCCTCTCTAAAGAACATTCCAAATGCCGCAGTCACATTTGATCTACGGCAACCGTTGATTCACAAAAATCGAGATAGATATGCAGCATAAATAAGAATACGCTTACAATGTCGATTTTTATAAGTTACGGCCGTCGTAGAGCAAATGTGACTGAGGCTTAAACGAGCGATTCGACGAAACAATTCTTATTTCTCTATCGTTAAAAGTGAGACCTTTAATATCCCATTTGAAGACAAAAAGTATATTTGTGTTAAAGCTATTGTCATTGTATTACTGAAGCTTGTCCTTCACAATAAATAATATACAACAATAACATATCAAATAAGAATAAAAAGACTAGTAGTGAAGATAATATTGGAATGAAATGGCACTTAAACCTGAATCTTTTGATAGAAAACTATAAAGCAAAACAGAAGGTATGACATTTGTTAAATATCTATCAAATGACTTTTGTAAAAGAAATTATATTTCAAATCGGTAATATTGAAAGAAAGTTTTTCAAGCTTCACCCTCCAATGGAGGTTGCTTTGTAAATATATTTTAACTGTATGTACAGTATCTACACTGGTTGTATGATAGTTTACACACAGTACTGGGCAAAACACAAATGGCAGATAATATCAACAGAAACTACATTTTCATTTTTAAAAATAATTATTATTACATACAGCAATAAATTGTAAATCATATATATGTACAGGGTATTTAGTTACATATTTTTAAAAATAATATCACATCATACTGTAGTGTAACAACTTCACAATTGTAAATATTTTAGACATTTTTTTCATGGACGGAATTATAATAAAAATGCATTGATGAAAAAGCATCACAGAGTGCATTTTTATATTCTTGGACGAAAATATAATAAAATGCATGGATACAATAACATTGTAGAGAGGACGGATATTTATAAAATGCTTTTTACAACATTTGTAATGTTAGCAGAAATTTGATATTAAATATAAATAATTAAATGTATAGGAATAGCCCTATATTCAGTTCTATAAAGGCTGCTTTTGTCAAAATATTTGTTAAATTAATTAAACAAAATATTTTAACATATTATAGAAATGAGATATTTCCTTCAATAATGTAGGACAAGCACAACAAATATTCTCACTTATTAACTTTTTACACACAGGCTTCCATACTGACATTATGGTTAAAGACAGGTACAAAAGTGATCCCACTTCAAAACATAAATTCCAAAACAGGAAAAAATCTCTATTCTACATGACTTGCTTAATAATATATCACAGTTCAGATATTTTTTACTTTACTGAGCAGCTTTTTCATTTTCAACGTTTCATAAATATGTCCAATCATTTTGGGGGTTATTTTGTTAGCTACTGTTCAGTGTCTCTTGGTCTTATATTATTCTCCTGTCTTATGGCTTGTAGCATCAACATTTTCTGTGTTCTGTTTAATGATAGAATTCACATCCTGAAATGATAATAACAAACAATGTAAAAAGACTCAAGTGTAATACAAATAGCAATTCAAATATCCACCTAATAAATATCAGTTCTGGAGAAAATCAATACAAAGTTGCCTTGTATGAATATATGAATTTTATTTAATTTTTTAACTTTGATACATGTCAAGAACAATAGTTAACTTACAGGCAGCTTATAGCGGGCACAGTTTGCAACAATATCTTGTATTATAGGGTGCTCTAGGAGTGTTGTATAGCATACAGGTTCTAGATTGTCCTGGCCCAACTCCTGGTATACCCCAGCAAGGCGATCATAAGACAGCACATCATCAGGATCAGACGACACTGTAAACCTACTACTCTCACTCTTTTTCATGTCCCCATGATGGAGGGCCTGAAAATTAACAAAAATGAACAAGATATTTTAGATCTACTATGGGTCACATACATGTATAATATAAACCTTGACATTAAATTAGAAATCATTCCGGCAACAATTTTTTTTATACATGATATTAAGACAAAATATTCAATTTTAATACAGAATTTCATTCATGAATTAATTACCGACATTAAATTGCCATAATTTAAAAAAAACAATGATTTGTATCTTGCTCCAAAAAAGCTTTATTTTGTTATATTTATATTAATATGAACAAATAACATAAATTAGATTGCTACAATTTTATTTTTGATGTGAGTTGTATTTATATTAGGCAATTTAAGCAGGAATCTTACTTTGACAAGTGCTATAAGTGGAACCTTTTCCTTGATAGCGCCAGGGGGTATGTCTATGGGGAGGTCAAGCTGGGGTGGTATCTTTGGTGCTGGTGGCTTCTCCACAGGTTCTCCATCTTCACCAACAAGCTCACTGAAATACACATTCAAAAACTATGGGTTTCTATTGGTTGAATTATTGACATGCCTGTGGCTTTATCTTCTGACTTATCAGGAGAATGCAAAAAGTACTTATCATTAATTGAACAAACAACTTATACAGTTTTTCATTTTAATATAGTTAATCATTTTTATTATCATCATAGACATACTAATTGTATCAAAAAGAATTTTAAGAATCTAAAAAATCTGCATTTTTGAAAATCCTATTTCTCTGCGATGAAAAGGATGTGGTGAACATTTTGAATTACACAAATAAACTCAATTCATGCCCTTAAAATTGCAATATTATCATTTCAAAATGATCAACATTGAACATCTACTGATCTAAAAATTATGACGTTTACATTTTTTGGCAAATAAAGTAATTACATACTAAAAAAGGTTAACAGAACAGGAAAAATCATAATTTTTAGCTGAGGACTAATTTCATTGTTCAAGCGAATAAATGATCTTTGCTTTGCTTTGAATTGATCCAGGCCAACCAGGATTCAGATTTACATTTAAGTCCCTGGCTGAATCATTCACACTGGGATAAAAATCATTTTCAGATAAATATTGAGTTGAATCAAAGTGCTGTCAATGAAAATATAAGAGTTTTTTTAAGAACCAATTAATTCAAGATGAACTGATCTTGTAAGTTATTTTAGTTCAAAAAACTGCGATAAATTCAATTATTTGACATGTTGAGTTCAAGTAGGTACAGGACAACTTAGAGACTTTGTTACAAGTTACACAATTCTCCCGATCGTGCAATGAGATAAGTCATGAATCAAAGCTAGAAAATGACCCTATTGCAATACTGATTCCTGTGTGTCGTGCAGACAATCACTTCCAGCTTACTTTATTTTGTATTTTGCAATTGGGGGCTGGCTTGACCTCTTATATATTTATACTCGCAATATCTTTCATCTTAACCTCAGCAGTAGATAAGGCAGTCTGGTTAATACGATGGTACCGTTTTCAAGACATTGA